TGAGAACTTTTATAGCTATTTACATTAGGTACATTAGTTAATAGGTTACTTCTTTGTGTTGCTGTTACGGCCTTATCCAGTTGTGGCTATTGGGACTATGCTGACAGAGGTCAGGTTTGTCCTTTCTCTTTCTATTCTGTGGAACAGTCTGAGGAGCATTGATGATAGATCCTCTTTAAGGTCACTAGGCAATCCAACTGCTCTTGGGCTTTTCTTTGTGAAAAGACTCTATTTCTGCTTCAATCTCACTGATTTTATTAACCTGCTTCAGTTATTTATAACATCTGGGTTTAATTTAGGTAAGTCCCATGTGTCTAGACATCTATTCACTTAGTCTAGATTGTTCAGAGTTTGAACAGAAGTTTTCAATTTGTGCCACTGAGATCCTCTCAATTTCATTGGAATCTACAGTAACATTCCTGTTTTCAACTCTGCTTTTATTATTATTGTTGTTGTTGTTGTTATCATTATGAATTGTCTTTGACATTTTCTGTCTTTGTTCTCATTATTTTTATTAAACTTTCAGTCTTTTTTTTTTTTTTCAAAGAACCATCTCATTGCTTGATTGACTCTATATATTGTTGTTTGGTCTTCAACTTAATAGCGAGATGGAGACTTCATCTCAATAACAAGATCTAACATCTACTGTTTCCAAGAAACATATTCCATTATTAAAGACATTCACAGGCTGGGAGTCAAAGGATAGAAGACTCTCAAGTAAACAGAAACCAAAAACAAGCCAGTGAAGCAATTTCTGACATATGATAAACTCAACTTCAAACCAAATCTCTCAGAAGGGACAAAGAAGCAATTCATTAAGAAGATATAGCACTTGTAAAAGCATCAGGACTCCTAGGAGTGATTTTTTTTTTACTAGATTATTTGAAGAGGGAAGACCCACACTAAAAGTGGACAGCAGCCCAGATAAGAGAAACTGGACAGAAATCATAGCCTTTGCTACTTCTAGCAACATCCCTTAACCCACTGCAGCTTTATTCCTTGACTGATACTAGAAAAAGCTTATAGGGCGGCCAAGGTACCAAAGACTAGAAGCCCTCCAGGAATCTCCCAGCAATCTGGAACTGCTGCTTCGCACACAGAGCAACTACTACATTCCTGGTCTCTCCAGTGTTAAGACAACCATTGTTGGACTATCTGGGTCATATTGTGACATTGTGGAAGCTACTCCAATTCAATCTCCTGTGAATTTATGATTCATTCTATCTATTCTGTTCCTTTGAAGGACCCAATGAACAGAGTCAAATCCCTGTTTTTCCTTTAGCTTCTACTGGCTCTGCTGTCATGGGTTGGACATGAAATTCTGTCCTAGCTCTCAGTTGCTCAGACATTTTACTCATAGAATTTTCTCTTTCTTATGATCATGCCATTGAGAGAGACTGTCTCCTTCCTCTTTGGATAATGTTCCTGACATATCTTCCACAGTGCAGGTTTAATGGTCATGAATTACTGGAGTTTATGCTAGTTTTTAAATGCTCTTATTTCTCCATCAAATTAAAAAGCTCTCTTTGATAGGTCCTGCAATCTTGGTTGGTAACTATTTGCTTTCAGGGTTTGAATTACATCATCCCATGCTTTCTTGGCTTGGAAGGTAGCTGATGCTTTTAATTGGAAGTTATTCTGATGTTTCCATCTTTATAGGTGAGGTAGTGGTTTTTTTATTTTATGGCTTTTACTGCTGTTTCTTTGCTTTGTATTTTTTATATCTTGACTACAATTTTTGGGGAGAGGTTCTTCTCTTGTCATACTTATTTGGGGTGTTTGGATAGACAATTCTTTCTCCAGATTTGGGGAATTTCATTGAGTAGACTCTTTGTGCCTTTAATATTTGTCTCAGTTCCTTCTTGACCATGCATTCTCAAGTTTGGTGCCTTGATCATATCTCAGAGTTGTTAAACACTGGGAACACATTCACTTATTTGATTCTTGTTTTTGTTTTGCTTTATTTTTTGTTTGTTTTGTTTTTTGAGACAGGGTTTCTCTGTGTAGCTTTGGAACCTATCCTGGAACTCACTCTGTAGACCACACTGGCCTTGAACTCACAGAGATCCACCTGCCTCTGCCTCCCAAATGCTGGGATTAAAGGTATGTGCCACCACCATCTGCCCTACACATTTGATGCTTATGAGTGCTAAGTGTAGTCAAACCCTGTATTGTTTCTTCTTGATGCTTTGCATAATGTTTATTGCTTGAGTCAAAGAGACTTTTGTTTCCAAGGTTCTATTTGCTTTTTTTTTTAAAGTACCAATTTTTGTTGTTGTTGAATTTCCTTTCAGGTTTCTGACTTCTCCATCTATCATTCTGAGATTCTTGGGCATTTTGCCGACTTCTTCCTTTGTTACTGACCTTCCTCTCTAGGCCCTGGATTCAATCGATCTTCTCTCCAGAAAGCTTTTGGAGACTTGCACCTGATCATTTCCCTGTGTTGAGATCCTTGACGGCAGTAACTGACGAGTTCAGGTTTTTTAAAAGAGTCATTGTGTCATGACATTTACGTTGTGTGTTTCTGTGTTGTGACTTGTGTGTCTGTTGGTCTGGATAGCTCCTCTGTTTTATTTGAAGATTACAACCAGGGACACAAAGCAAGGAGAATCTAACTGATTTTGGAAGTGACTTTTCCCTCTGTCCCCTGCCAGAAACATGGCTGAATTTGTGTCTATGTCCTACCTCTTCCTATGCATTGCAGAGTTCAGGTGTGTTTCTACACCTGCTGTAGATTTCTGATGTTCCCCCTCTTTGTCTCTCTTTGGAATTGAGATTTTGCTTTCTGTTTTCTTTTTGACTGTCTTCGTAGTCTCACAAAGAGGCAGCTTCCAGCCTGCCATATTATCCACAGGTCCTACATCACTTTCTAAGACTGCAGTAAAAGCATCTATCTCATTCCATGCCTGGCTCTTAAGTATATACTGCTGCTTGACACTGAGTTCTGTCTCTCTGTATGTCTCGCCTGTGTCTTGTGTCTCCCGTGCCTATTTGAGCTCCTGGTTGGTTGATTTTTTTTTTGGTTGGTTGATTTTTATTTTCTTGTGTGTCTGAGCTCTCCTCTCTATGCCCTGCCCTCTTTGGCTACCTCCGCTCTCCTTGTGGACACTACTTCTGTATGCCACGTGATCCCATGCTATTCCTGCCTTCCAGTATTATCCCGACCCTGCTGTGATACGTCTAGTCCTGGCAATCACAGTGTTCTCTTCAGGTCATTAGGGACTAAAGCAGCCTTGAACTTGGCAACATTCTTTGCCATTCTAAACCAACAAAGCCACAAGCCATAGAGACAGAGGGTCCTAATCCTCTTACTGCAGGCTAAGAAAGAAGACCAAATTTCCCACGTCACAGATATTCCATGTTTTTATATCCTAATTTTTCCTTTCTGTGAACTTCAAGATGATCTTACAGAAACTCATCAAGAGAAAGTCTGATGCTAGGTGTGGAAGCACCAGCAACCCCAACACGGGGAGGCAGAAACGGGGAGATGACTTATTCTAGGCTTGTCAGAACTCCATCGTTTAGCCAGGGAGTGATGGATAAGTGAACTCAAGTTCCTTCCACAGTGGACTCCTCCTACTTCTTCCAAGAAGTGTGATACCCAGCCTTGAAGAGATGTGTAGGAAGCTTAACTGTGGGGTGCAATGAGGAAGATGCCCTGTGAGAGTGGGCTTTGTGATGCGCAGCTGCAGCTCTGCCACACTGGGCAAACTTACAATGGGAAGACCGTCAGGGATGTTCAGGGGTTGGGGGTGGCGCAAGAAGGGGTAGAGTAGAGGTATCGGTCTGACTGTGTTAGCAGGGTCCTCTCCAGGAACAGAATTGATAGAGTGGATTACACATTCAAGGGGGATTGGATTAGAGCAACTTCCACAATATCCCAATATGGCCTGGATATTCCAACAATGGCTGTCCTGCACTGGAGAGACCAGCAATGCTGCTAAAGGATGTCTTAGCAGCATCCAAATTTGGGCAGCTATGAATGCAGCTGCTGGAAACTTCCATGTGGAGGTGTTGCACGGACATTACATTTTCAGTGCAGTTTGATAAAGAACATAGTCCTCAGTCACATCGTTAGGGGTCCTTTCAGTCGTAATTCAGTAGGAGCTAATGTATTATTGACTTCAAGCCTTAGCCCGAGGAAGGATGCGGACACTTGGAAAGTAGAGGTAGAAACCCAGTATAAATAAGCCTTGTCAGCAAGTGCCTGAGGCCCCATCCAGACTCAAAATCAAGTCAGGGAACCCAGAGTTAATGCCAGGTTCAGGAGAACCCCAGACACAAGCCCCATTTTCCCATAATGATGTCACTGACATCCGCCTTCTACTACTGCCTAGATAGTTGCGGTCCAGGTGAAAGCTTTTAAGCCGTTCTTCCCCCTCCAGCATCCCTCCTTGGTAATATACACAGTTCCCTAGCCAACCGTACTCCTGACAGTGATGGATCGAGGACTTACCACCATAAAATACATCCACTGACGTTTGAGAAAAGCAGCTCTGTGACCTCCTGCCACTACATCTCCTGCGGAGGCACCTAGGAATCCTCTGCAAGGTTAGTCACATGACTGCCTGCCATACCATTCTTCCTTAGGAGCAGAGGGAGGCACACACACACACAGTGATGTAGAGAGGATTCTCACCCAGCAGGACTGACAGGGCTCACTACTGCCATCCGGTCACACTCTTTGCTCTCATCTGAGTTTTTCTTTCTCTCCTTGGGTCTTCACGTACAGAGACTCCAAGTTCACACAAAATCCATACTATGTTAGCAATGCTTTTCTTGTGCGCATTTGTTCTTTGTCATAGGGAGACCTTGGTGTTGAACTCAGCTACAGATGAGACTAGAAATCTCTCCCCTCCATGAAAAAGCAAGGAAAGAAATCTCTTCCCCTTTCCAAGTCTCAATTTAAGCTAAGCAAACATTGCTTAATCTCATAGGAACAGAGTCCCGTGCCCTGGCAAGCCCTGGCGTTGAAGGGAGAAACCCATATTTGCACCTACTGGAAAACTGGATGGAGAAGCCAGACTTGCTGATGAAAAAGTCACTGTCAAATTGCAGGGTGAGGGAGTTGAAGGTGCTGTGGATATCCTCAGGCAGGGCCGAGCCGCTCCACTCCTTCAGCAAGATGTTGCTGTCCACGGGGCCGTCCCAGACCTTGAGGATGTCGTGAGCAGTCTCGGTGTCAAACACGATGAAGTGGAGACTGCAAGAGAGAGCAGAGCTTCTGTGTTCAGGGAGCATCCCACTTGCCCTCCACTGAGGGCTTCACCCTAGACACAAGCGTGTACGGACCACCAGCCATTTCACACTCCCATCAAACGTGTTCTAACACATCTGACAAAGAAGAATGGGGGTCCGGGCATCTCAGAACATAGCACAGTCCAAAGGCGTCAGTCCTGCTGTGCAGAGCTGTGGTATAGGCTAAACTGACGTCTAGAGACTGAACATCTCATTCCAAGACTGCTGGATTTTTTTTTTCCATTCAAAAATTTCCGCTTCCTCTCCTCCTTCCATTCCCCTTCTTACTCCTCCACCCACCCTCCTCCCTCCCCCTCCAGTCTTAAGAGAGGGCAGGGTACCCTGCCCTGTGGGAAGTTCAAGGCCCTTACCCCCTCCATCCAGGCCTAGCTGGACTGGGACTGAAGGAGCATGTGATCAAACCGGAATCTTTGAATGTGGCTGACAATGGGGGCTGACTGAGAAGCCATTGATAATGGTGCTGGGATTTGTTTCTACTGCATCTACTGGCTTTTTAGGATTCTAGTCTGTTTGGATGTTTTTTATAATTTTAGCCAGAGCCACCACACCCCTAACCAGTTTGGGTCATCGGCTTCTTCTTATCAATGCTATTGTTAATATACCACTGGGTGGCAGCACACACCCCGGGAGAAAGACTTGGAATACAGCCCGGTAGCTTGGTCTGTTCTCCAGTCGTTCTGCAAATTTTATCTCCAGAGTCAGCACACTGTTCGAGACAGCACCACCACGACAGAAATGCCCAATATGAATTCTCTTCTTTATAGCATTTTATCCACTCCTACTAGACTTACAGGTGTTTCCCAGAACCATCTTTACACCCGGGGAGGCTCACGAGGATGATGGGCAGATAGAAGAATTTAACTAAAAGGCCAGTAAAAGCCATTTTCCTCTAAGTTCTTTATAGGTTTTCATTTACTGCTTATTGCTCGTGGATCTTGCCACAGAATCAATGACTGCACCTGACCTACGTGAATTTCAGCGCATCATTTCCCACACATTACGTGTAGAAAGGATTGGCACATCTCACCTGGGTAGAGCATAAAATGCGGAGTGCACGTTTAGACATTCAGAATAGTGTATGTAAATAATTTATCCCACTTGTTTCAACTCTCTCTCTCTTTTTTTTTTTTTTTTTTTTTTTTTTTTTTGTTTTTCGAGACAGGGTTTCTCTGTGGTTTTGGAGCCTGTCCTGGAACTAGCTCTTAAAGACCAGGCTGGTCTCGAACTCACAGAGATCCGCCTGCCTCTGCCTCCTGAGTGCTGGGATTAAAGGCGTGCACCACCACTGCCCGGTTGTTTCAACTCTTTTTAAAAATAAAATTTTATGGGTCCATTCATATATCCCCTGCACACTACCAGCCAATCACCTGCTTGTCCTAATACCCCCCACTGTGTGTTGTGATATTCTCATTTAGACTTTCAGCATCTCCATCTGTGCTAGCGTGTGAGATCCCTGAGTACCTGGATCCCCTCTATGTGTTTAATGCGGAGCTTGAAGATGGAACCATGTAGACTGTATGTACCTGTGGTATTCCCAGTTTAATTTTACACTTGGGATCATGAGTCTCCAAGGTGAAAAGTAGAGTCTGTTAATTTATTTCAATTTATTTTATTTTTCATTTATGTGAGCATGCATGTGTATGTGTGTATATTTCCATGATCTCCAGCTCTCTCTCTCTCTCTCTCTCAGTGACCCTTTTCTCTTCAACTGTCATTGCATCTTCCTTTTATGCTCTTATCCTCTTCCTGGGTCATTTTTCCAGGATGTTTTCCCAGATTTTTTATCTGTCCCAAGGAATGAACTTGGTGTTTCCCTAGACAAATGGCCCTCACTCAAGAGCCCTGTCATAAAAAGCAGATTGAAATGTTCTGGGCTTACTTGCTGCCTGACAGAAAGACACTCCAACCCAGACAGGACAAGAGAGACCAAAGTCATTAATACAACCATTATTCTCTTAAAAGTCTACATGAGGCATAGTACTGACAACGTTGATAATGTTCTGTCTGTAATGTTCATACTGTGTAAGCCTGCTAAGCAACTCCTTCAACCACACCACCCAGGACAATCTCCCATGGACAATCAGGAACATAAAAACCAAGAGAGCTTTCTGAATGGCGGCAGAAGGGCAGTCAAGGCTAAGGCACAGTGTCCCCATGTTGTGATCCAGAGTGAAGTCCTTGGTGTCCTTTACTTGTATTCACACCTTGTCACCTTTATTGTATACATCCCTGCCATGCTCAGCACTGGAATACACTCAGTAACTCAGAGAAATATTAGCCTGTGACTCAAATAGGACCAAGGTCACTCCAGTGACCTTTAATGAAATTCAGACCAGGTAGGCACACCATAATGCTAAAACTGAAAACAGAAGCTGCTGCAAAACCCTCCAGGGGAATTTAGAAGAATAACTGGGGATAGGGAAGTATGGAGGGTGGGGCCGGCAACATATACTCTGTACTTTACTATAGCAGTATAACACAGTACTTTGTACAGTGGATATGCACCAAGGAATATGAAAGTTACAATCTCTTCCAGAACAAATATCCCCCGATAGACATCCTAACACATTCTCTCACCGTTCTTGACAAAACACCACCCAAGAATGGTCTGAATTTCAAAGGAGGCCCAGCTACAACTATCTCAGAGAATGCAACCATCCTTTTCTCGCTTCCATATGCAGCTGCTCATGAATATTTGCAGTGTGGAAACTATCCCTGCTTAAAAGTCAGAGCATGAATGCATGGTGACGCTTTCACCTGCAGTAGGACAAGCTGTACACTTGTGCTCACTGGTAATTTCCAGGTAGAAAATGTAGGCTATTTGGACGGTGTCCCCAGTGAAATCATTAAGGCTTATTAAACTCCCTGCAAATGTGAAAACCAAGATCAGGTTATTTTCTTTTTGTAAGTATGGTAAAATTAAAATAAAAACACTACAATGTCTACTTTTAGTTATTTTTCAAGCAACCATTTTCAAAAGTCAGGCCTATATTCTGAAATGGGTTACTTCATCAGAGTTATAGGGAGGTGAGTTGAATGTCAACTGAGTAAATTATTCACAAATACACCTCTCTCTTAGCGTCTTTATTATTTAATTTCTTTGCATTAAAAGACGTGTTGATAAAATTGGTAATGCTTACTGTCAGGGTAGATGTAGATTAAGAGTTTTCTAGAATGGTACAGAGGTATACATGATTGCCTCTAGACAGATACCTACTACATGTCAAAGTTAGATTATGATAGAGAAGCTGTACATTTGTGGGCTGGGGAGACAGTCAGTGACATGTTGACATGCTAACATGACCTGGGCTTGATTCTCAGAGACACCAAAATAGGCTGGGGATGATGGTGCACATTTACCATCTCAGCACTAGGGAGGCAGAGAAGCAGTTTCCTGGGGGAACTCTAGCCAGACAGCCTATCCCAATGGTTGAGTGCTGGCCAGTGAGAGACACTGATTCACAAAACCCAAAACAAAACAAAGCAAAAAAAGGGGGTGAAAGACACTAAAGTTAATGCCTGGCCTCTGCACATGCCAGTTCCCTTGCCACCACAAACACACACACACACACACAAATAAAAATACAATAAAATTTATATATTTATTAATATTACATAACATCCTTTTTGATTCCATCTCTCTTCTCTTATTAATATTTAATGGAGGCTTAGAGTCACCTGCAAGCTTGACCCAACACCTGCTCTCATTCATGGGGAGACATTGCCCCTTTTCATTCAGAATAACAAACCACCCAGGAAATTCTGAGAAAAGTACACTTTGAAGTCTTTCAAAGAGACAGAATTCTGTTTACATGGAGTCATTCGCAATGGTGGATGTTTTCTATTCCTTCGAGTTAGTGGAATGATCTCTGTCTCATTCCAGCCAATCACCACTCGTGGAATTAATATTTACATTTATGTCATACGGTGGACAAGTGACTTTATTGACTTTGCTGCTCAAATTCACCTTGGTGGTCTATTACACCAATCATTATCTCGACTAAAGGATGCATTAAAATTTAAGTGATCTCTAAGGTAGTCTCTTGGTATTCTGTATGCTTTTGTTAGTGGCCAGAATAATGGGTTTCATGGTAGCGTTTTTCTATATGTATAGAAGGTATCTTCATGACATTCACTCACTGTCCTTCCTCCCATTCAGCATTTCCCTTTCTATTGCTTAGGAGTCTCCCTTCTACACTTCTCTCTCTCTCTCTCTCTCTCTCTCTCTCTCTCTCTCTCCCCTTTTCTCCTTCCTTCCCTTCCCCATCAGTTTTAAGTTCACTTTCTTTCCCCTCTTACACAATGAAGATCTAGTGTGAGGTCAGCCACATGGAGCTATAGTCAAGAAGAACTTACATCACGATTAATTCCCTTCCGTGCTATGTGATGATCTTGGGCAGACAACCCATCAGAACTTTAAAAATACTGCTCTCTGTGAGCTTAAGAAACTCACCACCAACTCTCGATTACAACATAAAGTTTTGGTTTAAATGCCTCCCTGTTTTCTTCGGCTTTTCATGATTTCATTTCTTCAGTCTAACTTTAGGTTGGCATCCTCCTTTCTACCTTCTCCTAGAACTGCAGGTCAGTTCCTGTCTGTCTGTCTGTCTGTCTGCTTGTATCCTTTGTTTCTCTTTCACTAACAAGGCAAGAGATTGGGTTTATCTCTTCACACTGGAACCTTGGCTGGTCTCACAGGCCTGCCCTGGCACATGGCTTACTGGCTAAGTCAAGCAGAAAATAGAATTTTTCCTTTATTGCTGCCAAGACTCCTCCATCATGATTCATTCTACAGGAACAAAACCCAAGGAGGGTCTCTGGCCTTCTTAGACCAGCCCTCTGATGATGAATATCTGAGGATGGCCATGGATGTGAGCTTCCATGCAAAGCCATCAAAGTCCATCAAAGCCCATCAAAGTCCAGGTGCACATTAGACACACGCAGACAGCCCACAGAATTGCCACTCAGTGCCGAGGGTACCGTGTTCACAGCAGAGCTTGCTGACACATGCAGCCCCTTCTCATTATTATAGACAGCTGGACACTCAACTACAAAAGCCTAGAAAAGCACACCAGGAACAGTTTAGCCACAGATGAACGCTTTCTTGTTGAGCTCCCAGACTTTAATCAGACAGTCTGTGCCCTATTGCTGCTCTTGCAAAAACACTGGCCAGACCTCTCACTGTTCCATGACTGATAGCACACAGCAAATACCTGATGGTCTTTCCAGGATCAGCCTCTATGGTCCAAGTGCAGTGCAGGTTGTTGTCATAGGGGGCGGGGTAGCCGGGAGACAGTATGCGCCCTGATGTGGCTGCATGGATCAAACCTCCACATTCCGCTGCAAAAGACACAGAGGGGAGGCTTACTGGTGTGTTTGAGCTTCTACTTAGCTAGTTTTGTCTGGGCTTCTTTTTAGTTTCGCAAACAAACCCTAGCATGCCTGTATTAATTCATATAAGAGGACTCAGTCACCTGTCCATCTTATCTTTTATTACTTTCCAACATAAATCCGCACCGGTAACCAGTATCTCTAGGGCTATGACAGGTGAGAATGCAAACATTGGCACTCTCTGACCCGACTTCTAGTGATAACCCTGCAGTCAACACTCCCCAGTACTGGCTGTCTGTCCTTCATTTCTAGCATGTGTATACACACATCTTGGGAATGGCTATAGAAGACTATTCCAGGCCACAATGCTGCACCCATGCTACTGCCCAGAAGTAAGTCTAATAAACTCATTGACTTGTAAGCATTAACTGTGTTAGAATTGACCTTCTTGGAGTCTTAGAAGGGGTAGATGCTGCTATGTCTCCTTTGGGGATGCAACCTGCCTATATACAAACACAATGATTGATCCGTGAGATCCCTGCCCCTTTCCAAGAACAAGTCCCAAGCCAGACGGAGCATGCTCTCTTTGGCCTGGCTCGTGACAGGAGTCTGACCCAGCTTTCCCAACTCACCTACACAGGAAGGCATAGGCTTGTCCCACACCCTCCGGTCCCCACTCAGGCATGTCAGAGTATTGCTGCCATGCATTGCATAGCCTGGGTTGCAGCTGTAGAGAACCACAGTGTCTGTGAAGTGGCCGTCGTCTCGGATTCTGTAGCCATAGTTTGGAATGCCCGGGTCCTCACATTTTACCAGGTCAAAGCCTAGAGCAAGAAAGGGACAGGTGAATCAACTCAAGAGAGAACACATCAGTCTTTAAACTGGGCTCTTTGAAGTGTTGGAAGGAAAAGACATGGTGTACTTTCAAAGGAGAAAGGAATTGTGGGTCTTTAAGGTCTATCTGCAAATGGCTTGTGTTATTAAGAGAATACGTCACTCCTCTTTCTGCCTATTCTCTGCCTCACAGAGCTCTGTGTTTTTACTGTCCTGTCCATACCTCTGGTCAGAAAGTTGCTTTCGCTAGCTCAAAATTCCCTACACTCATAGCCTTTGCATCTAGTTCCTGTTCAGCTCAGACCTCCAGGAGAGAGGTATGACATGCTGTCATGGAGGAAGCTCACAGCAAGAGTTCACAGCAGTCTGAATCACAACATCCATCTCCTGACAGCTTCCCCTCCTCCAAGATATCAGGTATCATGGGAGTTTACAAAGCTGCTTTTGGGAAATAGCTTGGGGAAAAGTCCATTGGTTAAGTGCCTGCCAGGGAAGCGCAAGACTAGTCTGGATCCTCAGTAGCTACATAAAAAGGCTGTCAGGGCAGAAGGTAGAAACAGGAGCATCCCTGGAGCTTGATAGCCAATCACGGAGCTCCAGGTTCAGTGACAGACCTTGTCTCAGAAAATAAGATGGGGAACAACTGAGGAAGACACCCATCCTCAACCACCCATCTTCATACACACCCAGGATGGCTGCATAACCACAGAGTCATCCCTGCCCACCCAAACTGGTTCGCAGGAGACCCTGCTGCCTAGTCTCCAGAGGACCTCTGCATCTCCTCAAACTCCAGAACGAATGCAGAGATATCTCACCATGAGCCTTTAAATGAGTAGGTGACAGAAATGAAGACTTAGCTGTTGGGTTCTGAGGGCTGTATATTGTTCTCATGAGAGGCAGCCTAACCCAAACATATTTCTCTGCAGACCATGATGCAAATTTCAGTGCTTATTAAAAGCAGAGCTAAAATGTGGTGGGCCATGTGGTCTGTTTGCTTCCATTCCTACCCAACGCTTCCCTCCCAAATTAGATTAAATTCGAAAATGGATATGTGACTTTCCACAGTGTTTGCCTGTCGAGCTCGCACGCCTCTGAGGGGAATTGCTCTTTGCATTTACGGTCTGGCTTTATTCCATCGAGCTTTAAATAAGCAAGACCGAAGCTTGCTGCCCTGGAGATGGAGAGGAGAGAGCAGCCTGCCTGTCCTTTCCTAGGCTGCACCCCAGCTTTCTTTTGCAAAGTTTCCTGCTCCGCAGTATCAGAGACTTCAGTGGCCATGAAATCATTACCTTTCCAGTAACTCTGCTCTATTTTCAAATGCTAAGCGTTAAAAATATAAACGAATTGGATGCCAGAGCAGAAGCACCTGCCTTGTTGGTGGAATTAAGGACAGCTTGAATAGCCACAACTCCGGGTAGGAATGAGGAGAGAACCTCCACTGATGCAGTTTTGAAGATGTGCAACTATACCATCTCAATAGAATCCTGAGACTTGTGCGACGTGTGAGCAAGTCCTCCAGGGCCCCAAGGCTGCACAGGGCCTGAGTGATGATCTAATGTTCTGATGCTGTCTCTGCTGGCTTTGGGGTTTGGAAGGGATGTCATCTGAACTGTGGGCTTCAGAATGCAATTCTGCCCGGGCCTGGGGACAACAGGGTGCGGAATGACCAGCTAGGGTTCAGTAACCTCACACCTACAGGAAGGTTCTGTTGTTGAGAGCGAACGTTGAGCCCAAATGTCTTAAATTGGGTTTGGTGAGCAGCAGCCCAGGGGAGCACTCACTTGGAAACTGGTTAAACAGACGAGGTCTAGGCAGACAATCATTAACACCATGAAGACAAGGTTGAGTCTTATTGTCAGTACTTTTGTATCAGGACCCCAAATCAGCTAAAGTATCCAGATAATGTGACACTTCACACAAAATAGGCCACCCAAGTCCTGCCACTGAGGGACCCAACTGGAGCCCACTCAGAGACTCTGTCCACACTGCCTTCGCGAGGCAGCCAGGCCCTACAGAGTCTCTGAAGTTCACTCCACTATCATCCAAAAGTCTATCTGCCGCTGTTGTTGGAATTTCGATGCTGTAAGGTCATAAAAATGTCACAGGTGGATCCATGTTCGGGATATGCAGAGGTCAGAAGCCCTCAGTGGAATTGCTACATCAGGCTGTCGACAATATTGAGGGAACTGAGCTTGATCAGGTTTTTAAATCATATATCTGCTTGGCATCTCTACAAAATGCCTATTTGGTATAAGGGTCTCAACCACAGTTGAAGTTGGATACATTTTCCTGTTTCACTAATGCATGTCAATTAATTGTGCAGTCACACGTGCATACACACACTGTCACATACATTCACACAGAGAGAGGTCAGCAAACACACACATCCCAACTTTGTGGGAAGATGAGAACATACATCTACAAACAGTTCCTGGGGCCATTCAGCTTCACAATCAATCATGTCTTCTATATAGAGAGAACACCTCCCTGGAAACTTTCTTTAGTGTGGATGTGTGCTTGCATTTATGGAGGAAGGGCAGACATGCTCTTGGGAGCCCAGCAAACAGTTTTGGTAGAGCATAGCCACCACTGCCCAGATGGTCCACGGATGTGAGTACTTAAGATAATAATCAGAATACGTGTCCCATATGTTGAGCAAGTGTGTTCTTTGTTGGACCAAATCTCCTAGGTCTACAAGTATTGTTATTCCACACTTAGAAGAACATTGTCTTCCCTCCTAATGGCTTGAAGTCTTTATTTGAACCAAAGAAGAAAGAAACATTTTTTTAAAAAGCAAGCAACAGAGCTAATAACATATATTAGTAATAATGTTGACTGAATTTGATGTAGAGGAAGGTTTTACAGAGTTGTGTTTATTGCCCTTTCTATCACTTAGTCTAGGAATTTGTAGCACATGTCAGGCAAGCAGGGACGCTGGTTATTGATGGGGAAGGGACAGTCAGTCTTCCTAGGCTGTGTAATATTTCTTCCTGTACTTTTATTATTTCTTCAAAGGTCACATGAAATCTGCTGCCTTGTAAAAGTTCTGCACTCAATTCTGCACCCTTGTAGGCTTGCCCAGTGTCTTCTGTGAAATATACCCTTCCTTCGTGGAAGGTGAGGGAGGACTTGACCATTTCTGACCACATTTAACCAACTGTCAATCCACTAAAGAGAGCTTTGTCCTGCTGAACTTCTAATGGCTTGCTAATTCACACAGTTAAGTGGAAAGCAGAGACATTTACACCTGGGGATGCAGGTACTACGGCTTTGGTAGATAGTTTAGTGGGATAGGAGGATGGTATTTAGCCTCCCAGAGCAAAGTCTGCAAATGTTGCTTGTACAACAAAGGAGCTTAGTCACAAGCCATGAAACAATGGGACCCTGTATGGGTCCTTGGGATTAGACCAGAGCCTGCCTGGGTCTCCAGCCTTGGAACCACCAATGTTCCAGCTGCCCCTGAAGACAGCAAGAGCCCTGAGTCTGACTCTCTTGGTCTCCAGGAATGCAGGTCTACAGTGGTGCAGTAGGACCAATCCTCACCATCTACAGCTATAATAATCCAACACTACTTTCAATATCGATATGAGTTCATCTGAAACTGCAGAGGTCTGAAATGATGCTACTTACGTCTTTCTATAGTAAGTCTTCATTGTTTTCGGGGAATATTTACTACAGGTTTTTTTTTGTAACTCTTAAGTTATTAGAAGGCATTGTATTTGAGTCTATAAAAATATTTCTTTGAAGAGACATCTCCAATAGACTGTGAACTTAAAAAGATTTCTCAATGGTTTATCTGAAGTCCACTAAGCAAAGTCATAGCTAAAGAGTGCAGACAAGTAACCTCTCCTATGGTGAAGCCACAAGGCTGCCAGGAGTCAGTGTGAATACTGCCTGCGTGTTTTCTTTGTGTCACAGAGACTCTGAAAAATAATCAAGTTATTTGTGTCAAAACATTATGAGAATCTATGATCTAAGCCTGAATATTTAGTCATTTTGCTTCTATCTGTCTCCTAGAGATTTCTTCATAAGTCATCAGCACAGCAAGGATGCTGGGAACAAGATGTTCTAGTCAAAACAAGATCCAAACATCAAGTAGAATAAAATTACTCCCGGTATCTTTTACAATAATTACCCACTTTGATAGTCTTTCCACCATCTTTTTTCTAAGAACATGTCTTTTCTCCTACCTCTCCAAGTCTAATGAGGACTTACTGTTGGTATAGACTGTATTTTAATCCCCCAATATCCTAAGTAAAGCTCCACTCTGCATGTATTCCTCTGTTCAGTAAGAACTAGGAGTTGGGGGTCTTTAGCTCTGGCTAAGTGCCCTGGAGAATGTGGTTTTCTGCTCAGTGAGCTACAGAAGCAGGTTAGAGGAGACACCTGTAACTGGCAGATCCCTAGTGTCTTCTTCTGTGAGCAACAGAATCCATCAGACACTTGTGGCAGGCCCCCACCACCCAGCTTTGCACGAGGCATTTCAACATGTACAATATTCTTGCGTTGGCAAACTAATCATTTTCTTAGTAATCTATGAAAGCTTCTTATCTTTAAAACACAGACCAGGATTTCACACATCTGATTTAGAAAGGAGACATATACTGGCAAAAGTCTAAATATCCTTTTTGTTATTTCTACTTGCAGTTGTATGAAATAAATGAGAGGCCCATGTGGGTTCACTTGCTTATACTAATTTTTGTGATTTACTTTAGAAGGGGAGTTAATTAATACTGAACTTCTTGAAGTGGTTAATTGACCTGTGTTTTAGCACACAACTCATATCAATAATACAACTCTCCAAGTGCAGTATTTGCATTTAGTTAGAAAATATTGAGTTATAAATTGTGTCATTTTTTGGTTATGGCTACTACTGGTGTCCATTGATTTATTAGATGAGGTAATTTTTCACTGATTATTATTTGCATTTCCCCATATATTGTTTTTCCCACACATTAACTTTTAACATTACTTTTATTATTCTGTGATG